GTGACCCGTATGTAGTCGTATGTTACTCGTATGTAACCTGCATATGTAGTCGTATGTGACCCGTATGTAGTCGTATGTTACTCGTATGTAACCTGCATATGTAGTCGTATGTGACCCGTATGTAGTCGTATGTTACTCGTATGTAACCTGCATATGTAGTCGTATGTGACCCGTATGTAGTCGTATGTTACTCGTATGTAACCTGCATATGTAGTCGTATGTGACCCGTATGTAGTCGTATGTTACTCGTATGTAACCTGCATATGTAGTCGTATGTGACCCGTATGTAGTCGTATGTTACTCGTATGTAACCTGCATATGTAGTCGTATGTGACCCGTATGTAGTCGTATGTTACTCGTATGTAACCTGCATATGTAGTCGTATGTGACCCGTATGTAGTCGTATGTTACTCGTATGTAACCTGCATATGTAGTCGTATGTGACCCGTATGTAGTCGTATGTTACTCGTATGTAACCTGCATATGTAGTCGTATGTGACCCGTATGTAGTCGTATGTTACTCGTATGTAACCTGCATATGTAGTCGTATGTGACCCGTATGTAGTCGTATGTTACTCGTATGTAACCTGCATATGTAGTCGTATGTGACCCGTATGTAGTCGTATGTTACTCGTATGTAACCTGCATATGTAGTCGTATGTGACCCGTATGTAGTCGTATGTTACTCGTATGTAACCTGCATATGTAGTCGTATGTGACCCGTATGTAGTCGTATGTTACTCGTATGTAACCTGCATATGTAGTCGTATGTGACCCGTATGTAGTCGTATGTTACTCGTATGTAACCTGCATATGTAGTCGTATGTGACCCGTATGTAGTCGTATGTTACTCGTATGTAACCTGCATATGTAGTCGTATGTGACCCGTATGTAGTCGTATGTTACTCGTATGTAACCTGCATATGTAGTCGTATGTGACCCGTATGTAGTCGTATGTTACTCGTATGTAACCTGTATGTAGTCGTATGTGACCCGTATGTAGTCGTATGTTACTCGTATGTAGTCGTATGTGACTTGTGGGTAGTTTTAGCAACGATCGCCATGCGTCTAGTTGTCTATAAACAACACTCACCCTTTTTTCAATGGCCACAAAGTTCCTGTAACGCACAGAATCTTTACCCAGAAAGTCAAACTCAACAACACATTCCTTGTCCTCACACTCGTCATGTAGTTCTAGTAAAATTATAGATCAAACTTATAATAATTGAATGGGCATGCTGAATGCGTTGATAAGTCCAATGAAGAGAGTATTTTATAAGGATATGAATTCTATACTTCCACATTCCATAGTGCCTTCAGCTTTTGCGTTAAAAATTATCATTCAAATACATTTTATTTGAATTAAAATAAATTTGCTGTGAATGACAATACTTACCCCTAGATAAAAGAAGGCGTTATGGGGATGTGAAAGTAGAAAATATGCAACTAGTAAGCAAGTAAAGGCCTGTCTGCACTGTCGATTTTACGGCGATTTTTGATGCAATTTTTCAGTCTATTTTCAAAACTATATTTTGTCTTATCCTTCTGAGGAGACTTTAAGTTAGCTCATCTCATCGTTCTGAATAAAAGTTTACAAGTTTATTCTTTAGCTAGCATTATTCTCTAGGATCAAAATGACTATAAAAATCGTCGAAAAAATCGCCAGTGCAAACGTCCCTAAAAATGGATTGGACAAAAAAAAAAAAAAAAAAGAAAGAAAAATAATAGAAATAAAAGAAAAAAAACAAAGAAAAGTTTATAGAAGTGTACGGAGAAAAATGGTAAAGATAACAAAGAAAGGAACGGAGGAAGGAAAACTGTTCTTTTTTTGGTTAATTGCCATGGTTAATTGAATCGACAAGTCGAATARAAGAGACGAGTAAAGAATATTCAACAATTGTTTTTTATACGAATAAACAAAATTGGAATGATAGACTAATTACATCAAATGGAATATGTACACAATTTGATATATGACTCACTGATATGTTCCACTCGTAATGAGCAGCAGCCAACAGTATCAGCAGTGTCATCATCCTTCTCGTRACCTGCTCTGAGAGCAAGCTGCAGAGAMAACAAATTAGAATCAACAAAGCTAGATTGATGGAATGAATTAAAATTAAATCGATTATTAAAATTGTTACAATGGATTTTAATTCTTACCTTATCAATGAAATAAASAGCTACACCTCTGAAAGYCACAGCAAACAAGACAGCTTAGATAACTAATAATTAACTAATGGCCGTGATGTGAATTACACTTACCTTTGTCGTATTCTCATTTCTTTGGATTTCCAATCTTTTCTGTACTTTTCTCTAATCTTTTCTACACAGGACTATAATAAAGAACATTGTTGGCAATGTATATGACACAGTCACATGGTCAATCGTTGGTATGTTCAGAATCATAAGACACAACTGTTAAGAAGTATGTGAAGTATGGTAGTCTGCGTGGAGGCCCTAAGGGGACTGGGAAGATCGAGCGGAGAAAAGGGAAGGCAAAAAGGAAGAGCCTGCTAGAAACCCCTTTTTGTTCTCACTATTCTCTACTAGTGAGTGATCATCAAAATGACCTCTCAAAATAAAAGACCGAAGAAAGGCAAATGCCATATGTTGCAGAAATACCGTAATCTTACTCTTTAGACCATTTTTCGAGCCAAAACTATACGTTGTCATACACTTAAATTAAACGTATAATTAAATTCAGTTTTATCTTGGGTGGCGACCTACGATATTCTGAAAATTTGCCTCTAAGTTTAAGAAAAAACATAATTTCATACATAAACAAGACTCTGGTTTGGAATATTTTACTTCCTGTTATAGCTGAATTTTCGCCCAAATGAAATGTGATAAGGTCAATAATTCGCTTAGTTTTCATAGCGCGCGCTCACCCACAGTTTTGTTTTCAGTTAAGTTTCTTAGCGCGAGCTTTCTCGCGAATTATTTTATCACGTCTTTTGAAGAAGTCAACAGTTTTTGAAGCAGTTTTCAGAAGACAAAGTACAATCTTACAGCTCAAGTTTTAATCTTAATCAACATTCGGTTTTTATTGGGAATTGGTACGTACAAGTTACCTTATATAATAAGTAGTTACGTTCATTGTTGTTGTTGTATTTTTCGCAAGAAAAATGTATGTTTACTCGTGTTAAGCAAGCTGAAGATTTCTTGTTTAGCTTTAGGCAACCGTTATCAATTCAGTTGGATACAAGTTAATTTACTCCTATAGTAAATTGGTCTAGGATTTGTATAAGTTAGGTAGTGAGATTTAGCGGCAACGCTAAATGCGATCGGTACTAGTTCAGTTAGATTACATAGCGACCTGAAGTCTAGTATATACATAGGACTAACTTAGAGGAGAAATCCTAGAAAGACTTGTTATCAGTAGAGTAAAATTAATGCTATGATTACTTGTTATAGTTCTCGCCGTTTGTTGGCCACTTGTTATACATAAGAAATAAAAGAATCAATACACAAATACTTGACGTGGTAGTCCACTTGGTCACATT